TGAGCGCAACAGGCCAAGTGCTATGAACTATGTTCATCATCCTGAATGGGTTAAAACTATCAGATGCTAAGCCAAGTCTTACACTTCGGCAATCATTACTAAAGTCAATATTCTGATGGTCAAAATCTTTCCATGCAAGGGAGTCAGCAGGATGCCTAAAGACACCATCATTAGTTCGTTCCTCTGCATGCTATCTCATTAACTTGGCCGTCTTAGATGACATAAACAACCTCTGCAACCTTGGTTTTAAAGGAAAATACCTCATCTGTTTTGCAGCTATTCGTTTGCCACCTTTGTTAGGACCAATTGAACCACCATCACCATTTGATTTCCATCTAGAACTGTTGCATATGACACATTTATCAAGATTGGCGTCCTCATTTCGAAACAACATGCAACTGTTGGGACATACATCCCACGTCTCATACGTGAAGCCCAAATCTGTTGTGACCTTTTAAGCTTTATAATATGAGTTCGAGAGTTTCACACCCAACGGGAACGCTTCATTCAATAACTCAAGCAACATGTCAACAGACTTGTCTGTTCACTGATTAAGCACCTTCAAATGTAGAAGTGGAACAATGAATGACAAAGATGTGAACTTCTGATAACCCGGATACAATTCACTTTGTGCATCTTGAAAAAGTTTGAAATACTTTGCAGTCTTTGCATTTGGACCGAGCTGGGGTTCAGATGCATGGGGATCAAGTCCCTGTGGTTCATTACTCTCAACACTTGTACCAGCATGTGGATTTTCCATAGCTGCTTGTATCATTCCAATCATATCGTCCCTAATGTCTAAATTAGCTAATGTTTCATTCTCTCGATTACCATGCAGAGATACGTAAGATTCCCCATGATTAATCCAATGTTTGTATTTTTTTTAAAAACCATCAAAATCAGATGCTCCCGTACACCCTCTCGTACAAGATGGTATCGATTCTCACATATCCTACACGGACAACTGATCATCGAACCTTCAACCCTATTGGTGTAGGCAAGCACAAGGAATTCATCAATCCCATTAATGTGTTCGCTCGGCATCCTATTTGGCAAATCAATCCAACTCTTATCCATCATCTGTACTTCCTTCAAATATCGCTTCTGCACACATCCACAAAAATATCTCATCAAAGTAACTCCAAATATAATACCTACGTATTCATGCACTATGATACCTATCCATCTAATTGCTCTCAAATAAGTAGGTGGTCTTATCCCAGTTAGTTATTTACCGATTTGATGAGAGAACATAAAAAATGAAATACTTATACAACAACACGTGGGACATAAAAATGCTGCAAAACACCAAGTATTCCATCACTAATTCAACATGTCTAGAATATCAAGAGGTGCACAGAACATCATAGGCTTTAAGAGCCAGGAAAAAAAAAATGCAGACAAAAATAATTACACCCTCATCTCTCAAAACAAGTAGTACACTTCCATTACATAGCAATGAATATAGCTATCCATTAAATTTTAAGGATCTAAAATGAATTGATGTCATGTATCCAGTTTCCTAAGTCTGATAAAATTAATTTGTCATTTGCAGTAACAGGTTGGATCTAACACATTTATGACTTTTATATATTCTTTAGAAAAATTCACTTTGCCTTCTTACATGCTTGTACCACTTTACCTGAACTATCAATTTTAATAATTACCCCTTTAAACTATTGCCATTAGTTCAATCTAGTTAAAATCAATTAGTCAATTAGACTTAGGTCGGTTTTTCTTGTCTCATCTATTTCTATTTCTATTTCCATTAGTTCAATCTAGTCAAAATCAAATGGTTCTACACCCACAATCACACCTTTTATGAATGTTAGGCCAAAAAAAAAACCAATAGTTCAGACAAATAATCAAACACATAGAACACAGGGATGAAATATACTGTGCCCAATAAGATTACAGAGCTGACCTTCTCAACTCAATCGCATACCTCACAACAGGCCAAAACAAGGATCATTTCCAAAATTCTAACACATTTCAATATGTAAAAAAACCCAATAAAAACAGGGGAAAAAAGAATAAAAAATTAATTTTCTAACACATTTCAATAGGGAAATTCTAATAGTTTCAGAATTATAAATAGTATTTTTCATAAATCCATAGTTAATATTTTTGTCACATGCAACACTAAATAATTTACATGAATCAAAATTATATGAATAAATTACATGAATAATGCAATACTAAATAATGTGGAGACATATATAATACATATTTACATCATATATAATACATATTTAAAGTTAAAGTCCAGGTTTACATCATATATATGTATATAATTTACATCAAATAATGCAACACTAAATAATTTACATGAAATTCAGACGCAAATTTGGCAGAAAAATAATGTGGAGAATTCAAAGTTAAAGCTTTAATGTCAGATCAGGCGAAGACAAATTTGTTCTTGGTGCTGGAGCCATAGCTACAAAATTTATGTTCGAATTTTGTCTAGACCCAAACCCAAATAGCTACAAAATTTATGTTCGAATTATTTTTTCTAGTTTTTTTTTTTTTTAAATTAAGGTTTTTTTTTTTTTTTTTTTTTTTTTTTTTTGTAATAGAGGTTAATACATTTGAAAATAATCAAAAAAATATAAATGGCTGGTATTTCTGATTCACTTTTTTAGTAACTTCTGGTTTTTTTTAGTTTGAAAGTCATGTTGTTAAACGAAATTTTACACTTTAATTTATGTATATCATATATATATATATATATATATATCACTACAAAAAAATTGCCGGAAACTTCCAGGCCAAAACAACTCTGTTTCATCGTGTTCCACAAACATTGGCAACCCGAAATAGCTTTGTTCAAACCTCGCCCCACCAAATATGTATATATATATATATAGAGAGAGAGAGCATACGCTGAGTGAGTGAGAAAGGAGTGCTTGAGATTGACTGAGCTCGTGTGAGAGAAAGATAGAGACGCCGCACCACTGCTAGCCGTAATACGCCGTTGTTGCACCACCGCAAGCCGTCGTCGACAACGATTGAGCCTGGTCACCGTTCGTCGCTTTTCGCTTATTTAGGGATTTTGGGGGAAAAAAATATGCTTCAAAGATTTAGGGATTTTGGATCGAAATCATCGAGCACCAAACAATAGGAGAAGCGGGACAATTTTGTTTATTACTTTTTGTGACGGTACATTTACATCGTCGCAAATGATAAATAAAAATAGATAAAAATGATGCCGTTTTATTTTGCGATGGACATTTGCCGTCGCAAGTTGTCCAATATTTGCAACCGCAAACTTCTGCCGTCTCAAAAAATTTCTTTTTACGACGGTATATAGTGCCGTCGCAAATACTTTCGTATTTATCACACTTTTTGTCTAGGTTTATTACCGACGGTACAACTGCCGTCGCAAAAACTATTTATTTGCGACGGTTTAAACTGCCGTCGCAAAAGGTCATTTTTTGCGATGGGGACCGCGCCGTCGCAAAAGGTTCTGTGTTTTATAATCCCTTTTCTTGTAGTGAAAGTTTTATTTAAAAGATGATAAGTCTATTTAATCCCACAACCTTTTGAATACTCTCAAAAGTCCACTACGTATTTTTCTTCTTCATTCTTCTCTATGTTCGTTTTTCTCTACCTCTTTCTCTTCCTGATTTTTGGTGACCGGCGATCATACCTTACTTACTCTCTTTCTCTTTCTAATATATAATCAGCGACGACTGATGACCATCATTGTTTGGGGTTCACTGACAACCACTGACCATCGATTTCTTACTTCACCTTTACCAACGATGAAAGAGATGAGTTTTCCGCAAAGAATATTAATAGATCTACTCAGATCTGATGTAGATCTACATCAGATTTGAGTAAATCTACATGAGATTTGAATAGATTTAAACTAAAAATAGTTGCCGAAGTACAATATTCTCTCTATATATGTTTCTCTCATTCAATTTCTCAATTTTTTTACCTTTTCTCTGCTACACACTTATATTTTCCTATCTTAATGGAGAAAATTTTCAAATTCTAAATAAGTTGTTTTTAAGTTTTAGTTACAAGCGGTGAAAACTGTGAAATTTTATAGTTTCAATTTTTTTGGTACTGAAATGAATCATGCTTTAAAACTGTAAAATTTTACAATTTTCATAACATTTTTTAGAACTGTAAAATTTTACAGTTTCATAATATGTTTTCTAGTTTAATTAATAAGAATAAATACTTAATAGAATCATACTTTGAAACTGTAACACTTTACAATTTCAAAACTTATTTTTCAGTTTGATCAATATTGAAAATTATTTGCTTAAACCCTACAAAAATTGAAAAATAATATATACTTTTTTCCATTGTTGTTTGTTGTTGTTATTTTTTTTTCCCTTTCAGTTTTTCAATATTTTTTGCTATGTTTTTTCACTATAATTTCTCCATTTTTTTTCGACAATATTCTAGACATTCAGGTGAGTCTCTGATGATATTCTTGACGTTCAACGAACATTTTGGCGACTTCCAGTGACGTTCAGAACACTCTGGCGAACTTCCGACGATACTCCAACAACTTCCTGATAATATTGAATATTCTGGCAAATCTCCAGTAACCGTTTGACGGAAGTCTGACGATTGTGAGATGTAGCAACGTTTTAAAGTTATAAAAAAAAAAGGATTTTTTAGTAACAATTAAAAATATGTAGGATTAATTGGTGCAAATGTTTTATTTTGAGACTAGTTGGATTTTAAACTTTGTGTATGGAACTTAGAGTGCCCCATCTTTTTTTTCTATGTAATACATATTCAACAATAGATATAAAGGTATAATAGTTCAACAAATAATATAAATCAGAAAAAATATAAATATATAAGACTAATTAAATTATAATTTTTTTTTTGATGAACTTATTGAGATAGAACATCTGTAAATAAGATTTATCAATAATTTTTTTTTTTCAAACTTTCCAGCGAGGTTTGTGCAATTTATCAAGAATAAAAACAAAACGAATCGGGTCACATTAACCCGCTTCAATGGACAAGTAACCGGATTCAGCTCCTATTCGGACCCCAAATAACCGCCCTAATCTCCCGTACCCGCTTCTCTGTCCTCCTTCTCTAAACTCCTCTGCCGCAAAACTGTCCCTCTCTCTCTCTCTCTGCACATTCAATCTCCGACTCTCTTCAGACCTAAAGACCAATGTGAGTATTCGCATCTTCATCTCCAATTCACTTCAAGTTCTCTTTTTTCTTGAAGATTCAAACCTATTTTTACAATTTCCAAACTCAAATTCACTTTTTTATTTTTGGTTTGGCTTAAAGGTCTCGAATATGCGTGAAGAATTTGCCAAAGTACGTAGCTGAGGATCGGCTCAGAGAATTATTTTCTCAGAAAGGAGAAGTTACGGATGCCAAGCTCATGCGAACCAAGTATCAAACCCTTTATACATATATATGTGTATATGTGTGTTTCCTTGCTTCAATAGAATGCTCTAATTTTTTTTTTTTTTTGGGTTTCTCAGAGATGGTAAGAGTAGGCAGTTTGGGTTTGTGGGTTATCGAACTGTGCAAGAAGCTGAAGAAGCTCTCAAGTATTTCAACAATTCATATATGGATACTTACAGAATTACTTGTGAGGTGTGTGTGTACACTCAATTTAGTCCTGGTTCTTATATAAAAATCAGAACTTTTTACCACAATTTTGCTACAATCTTATAGCTTAGAGGAAAAAAACCCATCTGTTAGCTTAAGTGGTATTTGAGAAACAATGATGAAAATATATATATATATATATATATACCTTATAGTTTGTTACCAGATTTTAGGCCCTGTTTGATTAGTAGGATTAATAGTGAGAGGATTAACAATCCATGAGATTACTGAATGATTGGTTAACTAGCTGAATTATTGAAATAAATAATTCCCTTTCATTCATGTTAATTGTGTGTGTCAATTTCCGACTATACTGCCAATCAAGCACTCAGCTGGAGAATACTGGCAGAATAGATTAAGCTCGAACGATCTATCACAAAAAGAAGAGATTCCGGCGGTGGTTCGTCCACCCGGGGTCACTCCGACGATCAAGCCAGTTACCTTTCAAAGATAGCAAAAGTGCTTAACTCACTATTCAGAGCATAAAAAGCATACCTTAGACCCATAGGGGTGCCTCTCTTTTATAGCCAACACTTACCTAATCCCAATAGAAGCCTAGCTTCAATGGACTTAGGATTACTGCTAATCTTGGACTCCCAGTAGGATTGGAATAAACTTTCTAAGAGTCTTATCTTTATCTAAACTAAAGTTCTCTCCTATTCTAGGACTCTTGTCCCTTATCCGTTTATCCCAGATTCCGGTTTCTCTGCAGATAATCTCGGCCTAGGGAAGAGATCATTTCGGTGTCATGACCAAGACACGTGACACCTCGGTGTCACCTCGGCCACGTGCTGTCATTTAAAAATTATGTCCCGACCCCCTAGGTTTTATTACCTCGACATCCTGAGGTGATGGAACGTATATCATTCCTTTCATTTAGCACATCGGCTAAGTTCGCTTTATCTTTCATTATCGAGATCATCATTCGTCGGCTCAAATATGACCAAGACTTAGTCTGTTTTCATCAATGCCTTAGAACCAAAAAACCAAGTTTTGTTCAAGTTTCACAACCGAGATCGTCCTCCTAGCCGAGGTCTTGCTCCATTAAATTAAGAACTCCAAGAGTTTCATCACGCGTATGAGCTGTTATGCACAACAACTCAACCGTTTTTGCCACGCGTCTTTCCCCTACTGAGCCGTGCTTGACACGCGCCATTAAGTCGCATCGCACTTGCATGTTCCATCTGACAAACACGTCGTTCTAGGCACACTAAATGCGGTTTTGCTGCCATTTCGTGTGTTTGATCAAAATCACTTCTCTCTCTCCGTTTTTTCACTTTTGCATCTTCGTCTTCGTGCAACCTTTCTCTCTCTAACTTTCTCTAATCCTCCTATTGCTTCAAGCTCTAAAGGTCTCTGCAATCACCGACGTTCACCTCCTCCGACGAGGTTTTTGCTGATCCTTTCTGTTTGCTGCAATCATCTGACTCCGGCGTACTCAACACCGGCTTCATTTTTCTTCGGTGAGTCACTATTTCCTCCTTTATCAGTCTGTGTTTTTCTTTGTACCTTGTACTTTTTCTTACTTTTTGAAACAATGTAAGCTTTAATTTGGCCGACATGCCATTTTTGTAATCTAAACAATCATTCTCTAATGTCAGGCCGAGGTGCCTTCTTTCCTTATCTGAATGCATATACAACTTTTTTCCCTTTCAAGTGCTTTGAATGTTTGTCTTCTTTTTACTCTTGCATGATTCTATACTTAGAATAATTTGCATGTCTTCAATGTACACCTTAACTATGCAACCTCCTCGGGGTGGAATACCTTGATTAAACCACTATCCATTTATTTCGGCAAGTACATAGGTACTTCTTTTCAATACAACATTGGCTTAACTTTAAGAAAAATTTCAACAAGCGTTTAAACCAATCTTCCTTTAACATAACCTCGGATTCACTTCAACTTGTAAATTTTTCATAAAATTTCAACAAGTGTTAAACATGACCGCAGTTTAACTTCAACTTGTAAATTTTTCTTAAATTTCAACAAGTGTTAAACATGACCTCAGTTTAACTTCAACTTGTAAATTTTTCTTTAAAATTTCAACAAGTGTTAAATCGATTTAGGCTTAAAAATTCCAACTCCCAAGCATCAGTCTCCAGCCCTCTGCCCCCTAATGTGAACTTAAGTTCCACTTGGGTTCTCATTAAGCATGTGGCTCTAACCTCGTTGCTGAAGTCTATATTTAAACAGAGACTAGCCGATGTTCTCAACCTTGGTTTTTCTGTTAATTTTTCCCAAGTGCACTTAGTTTCAATCTGTGTTTGACTCTGCTGATATGGCAAGTCCAGGTTAATTCAACTTAGTTCAACTCTATGATATGCAAGTAGAAACTCTGCCATATAATAGGTCTAAGTTATTCGTCATGTTTCAATCAGAAATATCGCCAACTTAGTTCAACTCTATTATATGCAAGTAGGAACTCTGCCATATAATAAGTTTAAGTTATTCGTCATGTTTCAATCAGAAACATCGTCATAGGACTGGTCGGTCCTATCGTACAGATTTCAAATTCACAAAAATCAAACTAGCACTTTATTATTACTTCAGTCGATATGCCCCATTGCCGGCAACGGAGATGATTCTATTTGGGCCAAGTTTGGCCTCCCTATTATCCGTCTTATTGTCGACAACCTTTCTCAGGATGAGGCCCCTAACCTTGAACTCTCTTGGGCCAACCTTCTTGTTGTAAGCCCTAGCAAGTTGTTGTTGGTATGCTCTCAGCCGAATTGCTGTTCTCTAGCACGTAGCAGGTGGATTTCAACAACATTTTCACGCTTTTTTAGATAGGTTTCAACTTCTTTTTGCATGTAAGGCCAAAAGAATCCCTGCGATATTGCTCTATAGGCAAGGGATCTGCCCCCTGCATGGCTTCCACCTACTTCTTTGTGGACCTTATATAAAAAGTCTTTAACTTAGGCTAAGCTTTTCTCTTCTCAGACTTAATCATCTAGGCCGAGATCTTGTCTTCTGGAATCTGGAATCTGCTCACTTAGGTTGGAGGGATCAGTTGTGACTGCCTGTGCAGCCCTTAATCTTGTCTCTTGCTTGCTGTATCCAGTGTTACCCTGGCCTCGCTTTGGCAGGCCGTTTCTCTTTTCTTGTGTTGACGCCTTTGTCCCCGGCGTGTCTTCCTCGGCCCTTGCATACTTCTCTATTCTAGCCATGAGTTCCTCCATACTCTTTGGCAGTGTCTTTGCCAGTGATTTTCGTAGCAGACAGTCATCTTTCAGGCCGTTCTTAAAGGACACAACCGCCACCTCTTGGTTGCATCCTGGTATTCGGTTGAACACCTCGTAATACCTCTTGGCATAAGTCCTAAGACTTTCATCCTCACTGATTCTCAGGGTCATCAGGGTGTCCACCCTTAATGGTTGTAGTTTGTTTGTCACAAACTTGGCCATGAACATCTCGGCCAGGCCTTTCCAGGTTTTCATAGTTCCTTTCAGCAACTTGTGAAACCAGTCTGATGCAATTTCCCTAAAGGACGAGGGGAACACCTTGCAGAGCAATGGCTCGTTCCCGGTGTATAATGCCATCGAGTTCAGGTACAAGCCGACGTGAAAGTTCAGGTCCGACTTACCGTCGTATATCTGGAATCTCGGCATGTGGAACCTTTTCGGGGCCTCAAATTTGTCCAACTCTACCGAGAACGGCGTCCTCGGCTTGACCGGAGAGGTCACCTCGGTATCTTGTCGCTTTCTCTGGAGGTAATCCCTCAGATTCTCCTTGGTTCGTCCAGGAGCTCAGCTATCTCCAGATTTCAGCCTCTTTGGTGCACTACCTCCACTGTCATTGTGAGTCCTTTTGGACCTCCCTCCATTGGTCGTGTCGAAACAGAGTTCCTTCCCCTGAACATCCCGATGTTCTTTGGTGTAGGTTTCTTTTGTTCGACGTGTCTTTTGGGATTCTCCATGCACGACCTCCCGCGAAAGCCGGTGAGAATGTCCCTTGGTCCCACCATGCTGAGGGACTGTAGGAACCGTTTTCTGCCCCCCTTTCTGGGCACCTTTCTTGGCCGCTGGAATCGGCGTATCTTGTAGCGAGAACGATGGCTGCATGACGTTGTTCCGCATGACGTTGTTCCGCATCATGAAATTGACAACCGTCTACAGGTTCGCCAATTTGTCCGCCATTCCCTTCATCTCGTCGTCCCTTCGCAGGCATCTATCTTTCTATACTAAGAGGTCGTCCTCGTTATAATACCCGCTCCGGTCCGATTTCTTCGATACGCCGCCCTCCTGGCCGATATCTTTTCCTCCGTGATTCTTATCACGAGTCTCTTCATTGCAGTTGTCTTCTTCGACGTCAAGGTCAATATGTTTGCCACTCTCAGTAGGGGTGTCGTCCCCAACCTTCTCTTTCTGTCCGTCGTTAGCCATCTATTCTCCTTTTTTTCCTACAGACGGCGCCAAATTATGTGTGTCAATTTCCGACCACACTGCCAATCAAACACTCAGTTGGAAAACATTGGCAGAATAGATTAAGCCTGAACAACTTGGCAGAATAGATTAAGCCCGAACGACTTGTCACAAAAAGAAGAGATTCCGGCAGTGGTTCGTCCACCCGGGGACACTCCAATGATCAAGTCAGTTATCTCTCAAAGATAGCAAAAGTGCTTAATTCACTATCCAAAGCGTAAAAAGCATACCTTAGACCCATGGGGGTGTCTCTCTTTTATAGCCAACACTTACCTAATCCCAATAGAAGCCTAACTTCAATGGACTTAGGATTATTGCCAATCTTGGACTCCCAGTAGGATTGAGATAAACTCTCCAAGAGTCTTATCTTTATCCAAACTGAAGTTTTCTCCCATTCTAGGACTCCTGTCCCTTATCCGCTTATCCCGGATTCCGGTTTCTTTGCAGATAACCTCGGCCTAGGGAAGAGATCATCTCGGTGTCATGACCAAGACACGTGACACCTCGGCCGACACTTCGGTGTCACCTCGGCCACGTGTTGTCATTCAAAAATTATGTCCCTACATTAATATATAATCCCAATTATATGTTTGTTTTGCATTATTAATTGTAGGATTAAAAAATCTGCCATTTTGTTGGATAAAATGTCCTATCAGAATCTAACCCTGATAATAAAAATTGCAACCAAACATTGGAATGTGAGTACCGTGGATTAATAGTCCCAATCCATGCTATAATCTGCCCAATCAAACAAGTCCTCAAGTGTGGTGGCAATTTTCATAGACAAAATGAAGTGGTGAGAGAAATGCATTGTGTGCTCTGATCCTATCTCAAGCATAAAAATACTGCATTAGATAGGACGTATGGAATTTATGCAAAAAATGGGCTTTGGAAAAACATAAATAGGTAGCTCTCCTTCAATTCAATTGGAACTAAGATATTCATTGAGCATCCCTAGCCTCTCTAGAGTTCTCAAGACCTAGGAAACCTAACTTATATGTACTAAGAGAAGTATTTGGTTTTAATTCATTTGTAAAAATGGGAAGGTTTTATGTGAGGATTGGTGTTCCTGGGATGTTTTAGTTCATGTGATTTATTTTATTATTGCGGTATTGAGTGGTATGCTTATCATGAATTGATTTATATTGAACTGGAAAACTGAATTAATAATCCACTGCTTGAGTTATTTTTAATTAGTAGTTAGTAATAACAGTTTGGCCTAATCAATCTGTCTAGGCACAAACTGTCTGCCTATGCCCTTTTCATAGTTGAATACCCACACCATTGCAAATTTGCAATTACGAAGACATGTCCAAAAATAATGGTTTTTTTCTTCAAATTGGGAATCGAATTAATTTTAGTAGCTTTCTGTATCTAGTAGATTGGATGCTTGATTTACAGGGGATAGGCGTGCAGATTAAGTCATGCTTACGGCACATTAAGCATGACTTAATACACCCCAATTGCTTGCTTCTTTTGATTAAGTCTGCAAAATCTCTTTGATGCCTGTCCATATAAAATGATTTCATTTTTGAAGCATGAGAACTAGCAATATCCATTTGCGTACTTTGAATATGATAATATTACAAAGCTCATTGCGCTTTAGATGATGGTTCTAAGATAGTATGTTGGAAGTAATCCTAATTTTTTTATCACCAGATTGCTCGTAAAGTGGGGGATCCAGATATTCCTCGTCCATGGAGTCGGTATTCCTTGAAGAAGCAAGAGACAGTAACTGAGGAGGTGAAGAAAGTTGGTCCCAAAAGTGTGGGCATTGCAAGTTCTAAGGAAGAAAAAAAGATTAGTACAATGGACAGTGGAAGTGATGACCCTCAGCTTCAGGAGTTCCTGCAGGTAATGCAGCCCCGTGTCAAGTCAAAATTGTGGGCGAATGACATATTGACAGCTCCCATTAATGAGCAAAATGGAAAAGGTGGTGACAAGAACACTAAAATAAAAAAGGTAGGCAAAGAGAAATTGGCTCAAGTGCTGGATGAGCTAGATGAAACTGATAAAAGTGAAAATGGGTCATTAGATGCTCAGGTAGCTGAAAAATCAAATAAGATGGCTCGTGATGAAGTTATCTCAGATATGGATTACTTCAAAAGTAGAGTACAGACAGAGTGGTCAGATTCAGAAAGTAGTGATGACAAGGATGATGGTGACGATAGTGACGAAGATGGTGTGGGAAACATTTCTCTGAAGAAAAGTGATGTGCGCCGAGATGTTCAGAAAGTAGATCCTAAGGTACAGCATGATTCCTTTGAAAGAGAAGCTTCTGAACAGAAGTTTGAAGAGGACTCTTATGAAGATTCTGAGCATGAGATGATTGATTCGGGTGATCCATCGTCGAGTTTGAAAGATGATGAAAAAGAAATTTCAGAGATTAGTCGTCTTTTTGTCCGTAACCTTCCATATACTGCAACGTATGCTTCTATGTTCCTCCTTTTGTAGTGCATATTCTGCAACACATTTTTCCTATGCAGTGAAATGAATTGATTTAAGATGCTGTTACCATTGCTAATTGTATATTCTGATTTGTCTTCCAATCCAGTGAGGATGAGCTGGAAGAGCATTTTAGCAAAATCGGCAATGTTTCCCAGGTTCATCTCGTTGTTGATAAAGATACAAAGCGGTCAAAAGGATTTGCTTATGTAGTTTACACGCTTCCAGAATCTGTAGCTAGGTATTTGTTTATGTGCTTAAGCTTCTAGTTTTGTACCTTGTAACGTCCTCCCACTTCAGTCGTAGAAGTTTGCTCTGAGGTGCTCTACTTATATAGTATAATTCCCCTGATTATCATTCCTTAGATTTTGAGGCTTGCATGATGCGGATTCCTAACATTGTTTTTGATTACGAGGGTTGCTAGGTTCATACATAAAAGATAATTACGATGGTTAATAATTAATAAATAATCTTTGCTTACAATGTTATTGGTTGTTGAGGTTGTTCAGTGTCTAGGGACGGAATATGAGGCTCTTAAGTTGTTATATATGTTCTTATTTCCTGCAGTCTTTTGAGTTCGGGCCTCCTATTATGCTGTGCAAACAGCTCTGGGTCTTGATAATTTGCTGACATTTTTTCTTTGGGTGAAAATTCCGTGAGGTTCACCAAAAAAGTGGTGGTTTACAGACGTCATTCAGGGTGCATGTTTTGCACTCACGCGTCAACTGGTGAAGGCATAAGTATTAGAAAACACAAATTAAAGGAACTTCTAGAATAAAAAATCAAAGCATGCTTTTGATTTTGAAGCGAAAAGTTCCTTTTGATTTGAAGAGAATCTCAGGAAAGGACGCAAGTTAGAATTTCCTCATTGCCTCATCCTTTTAATTCAAAATCAAGAGTTTCTTTTGGTTTTTCAATTTACAAAAATGCTCTGTAGTGATGTGACGCGTGCCTTGGACGTTGTCTCCATACCCGGCCCTCATCTTCAAATCCAAGAGTTTGTGGACATTGTTAAATTTAAATCCTATTTCCTTGGCTTTCCTCGCTTTTGCCTTCTTTTATTTTTTGGGATTATTCTATTGAAAGAATAATTGATATGTGGTTTCTTATTCAGAGCATTAGAAGAGTTGGACAATTCAATTTTTCAAGGGAGATTATTGCATATTATGCCAGCAAAGCAAAAAAATAACTCTGAGAAACAAGAGTAAGTAACATTGAGATTTTTTTCTCATTTGTTTTTCAGTTTGCATGGTTTGTGACTGTATAGTTTCATTTCAATTAAATGATCTGTTGCTATTTGACTTTCGCTCACTTTATAGGATCAATGCTTCTGCAAATGTATCTTCAAAAACACTTAAGCAACGGAGGGAGGATGAGCGGAAGGCATCTGAAGCCAGTGGAAATACACAAGCATGGAACAGTTTGTTCATGCGCCCAGATACGGTACATTTCAAGTCTTTTATTATAGTATTGGATATAATTTTATTAAAAATATTGTTCTATTCCGCTTCCAATAATTGAATACAATTGCAGGGTGTTGCTGATTAATAATTGTTGATTCAAAGTGTCACTTATATCCTTCTTTCTTTATCACAACAATTTGGACTTGAAACAAAATACGAATTTGAATGTTCTCATTTGTGGACTGGTGTCTATACTTGGTTGTTACTGTAGCTAAGGTCAGCAAATGGGCACATTTTGTAGTATTTTGACTTTGCATGTTCAATGCTATCAAGCACAATTGAAAAATCTGTAGCTCTTATTTGACTCTGCTTAATTGCTTCTATGCACTTTCCTCATGTCATGCTCTGCTTTTCCCATTTTCATTTTGTCTTTTGTTTGTAAATAGGTGGTTGAAAACATTGCTAGAAAATTTGGTGTAAGTAAAAGTGATCTACTTGACCGAGAAGCCGATGATCTTGCTGTCCGTATTGCTTTGGGAGAAACTCAAGTAATTGCAGAGACAAAAAAAGCTCTTGTAAATTCAGGAGTTAACATAGCCTCATTAGAAGAATTTGCTAGTGGGAGAACTGATGGTGCGAAGAGAAGTAACCATGTTATATTAGTGAAGAACTTGCCTTACGGTTCTTCTGAAAGTGAAATGGCTAAGATGTTTGGCAAATTTGGGAGCTTGGACAAAATTATTCTCCCTCCAACACGAACATTGGCTTTGGTATGCATTTTGCCTGTCATGCTATCATTCTAATTGTTATGGGTTGAAAATTGCATATTCAACACAGCTTTTATTTAGCTTTTGTTATTAGTTCCTTTAATTTGTTAGCTCTCTGAGTTTCTAGCCTTCGTATCTTCTGTTGGGAAACTGGTCATCCTCTAAATCCAGGTTATGTACATTCTTATCTGTTTTGACACATTATTCTTTCTCAGCATGGTATCGCCCTTTTGGGAACTAGGCTTTTCATCACAACATTCCTAGGGTTTCTGTATTTTTTTTTTTTTAATGGGGAGATGAACAATGGGTTATCTTTAAGGATGGATCAACTTGGAGGTTGTTTTGGTTGTTCGTAATTAGAAAAGTGGAAGCCTTCTGAGTATGTGAGGGTATTCTGGGAAGTGCATGAATGCAATGTAAGCTAGATCTTTGTTTTGATGCTTACAAGGTGACAAGCAAATATGGGAAAGAGAAATGAATCCATGAAAGTTAGATATTAGATCATTAGGTTTTTGGCTGGAATGCCTGGAATGGTCCATGCTTGGCCTTTGTTTGTCCTAATGTGAATAAGGCCTCGTTTGGGAACAGGCTATTTTAGTAACTTTTTGGCTTTTTACGAAAAGATGTGCAGAAAAGTAGAGAGGTGATGTGACTAGTTTTAGTTGGCTTTTTGGCTAAAATAGCCACTCCCCAAACGAGGCCTAAGTTATGTTATGTGGTAGCCCTCTAGAATTTAAAAGCCCTTGGTATAATTTCCTTCTCATTTTTTGTTTCAGTTTAGTTAAATTGGGTGAAGGATTTTCTTCTCCTTGTGTCTTGAAAATTTATGTTCCTTTCATATGTTTCTTTTTTTTCTTTTTCATTATAATTTGTAATGTAAGATCATTTAAGTAAATAATTGCAGTAACCAGCGGCACCAATTGAAATTACTTGTATTGATTGTTAAACTGTAATATCTGAATTTTCTTAATATTTTTATTGATCATGACGTTTCAGGTTGTTTTCCTTGAACCAGCTGAGGCACGTGCAGCTTTCAGAGGTTTAGCATACAAACGTTACAAGTAAGTTCGTCTTTGTTTCTCTTTTGGTCATTAATAATGTTTCGCATTAGCAATTTCAATTGGTAAGCTATAGTGGCAGTTGAAAATGTTTTGTCATGTCAGTATCCTAGCTCATCAGAGATAGCAATCGGTCTGGTTTGTCTTAGGTTGGCAAGGATCCCAAGTATCCAACCTGGCACCTCATTATTATTTAATTATCTTTGAGAATTGATTACTTTATTGTTTCTCAAATCGAATGTTTAATAGATCCCCATTTCTTATGCAATTTATCATTAAAATTTTGTTACTACCTATTTCATCATGGGTATTTCTTACTTAGGTGAAATGGTATTGGAAGTTGAATCGTGTTTCTTCATTTTAACATAGGGACGCTCCACTGTATTTGGAATGGGCACCTGGTGATATTCTTAGTCAAAATTTCACTTTTGTTGATGATGCAAAAAATACTGTCATTGTTGGTGAGCATGAGGCCAAGAGGGTATTATTAGAGCAACATGTGGAAGGAATAGCAGATGCTGACATTGATCCTGAAAGAATTGAGGTTTGATAATTCACATTAGTTTGTTTCGTATTTTCCCATGTTTTAGTCTTTTACTGAATAAGTTTTCTTGATTAGATGTTATGTCATTTTTTTTAATCAGCGAGAAAGGAAGTGTTTCTCATTATCTGTCATTGGCTTTTATAAATAGAAAAGAAAGCAAGACTTGTTAGACACTCCTCAAAATATGTCATTAGTTTCCATAACCCTCATACAACTGAAAAAAGGAAAGAAAAAAATGACAGTACAAAGGTCCAACACTCAGAACACCCTAGGAAAATAAAAATAAAATCACACCCAACCCCTGCAATGCCTCAATGATGTGCCATTTCCGCAAAAAAAAAAAAGAGTGTTTTCTCATTATCTGTCATTGGTTTCCATAAATCACCATTTGCGTTCCCAATTATTGCAGTAGATTGAACTTCCAGATATTTATCTCTAAACTTTCTCCTATCCATGAACATAACAAAAAAGGTGTTAGCCGCGAAATGAAGTCTATTTTAGCTCCCTTTCCTTTTTAGAAGTTTTTAATCTTTAATTTTTTATCTTATCTTCCTAAATCTCATCTCTCCTGAATAGTTGAACTGATGAGATCTCTCTTCTGAAGGCTAGTACAGGTTTCAATCTTCTTCTCCACCTTCATCTTCCTAATTACTTGACCAACCTGTTCATGACTCAAGCTATCTGTGTTATCATTTGTCACAGTAAACATTTATACTCCACCACTTTTGAAATACACTTCTTAATTATTAATAACGAGAAGTGATAGTAAATGATAGTATAGCTTTGCAACTGCTACGTAAATGATAGTATGGCTTTGCAACTGCTGGATCTATAGTTTGTAGGCCTTTGGTATTTCTGTTCTTTGACAACGTTCATATTGAATATATGCTGTTGCTTGAGTTATTCCGGCCTTTTATGTGCATGCTCTGAAGTACCTGCTACTGTTCTATGGAGTATATAGCCATCCTAATTTCGTGTTCGCTGTTATGTTGTCCTTTGTGCTGCAGTCACGTTCATTATTTGTGAAGAACCTCAACTTTAAAACATCTGATGAGGCACTGCGAAAGTATTTTAGTGAACAAATCAAAGAGGGAAAAGTCCTTAGTGTCCGGGTAATTTCTACTTCCAAGCACCTTTACCACATTATTATTGAGCTTCAATTTTTTCTGTAGTCACCGTTCTGTTCTGTCCATGTGCAGGTGAAGAAGCACTTGAAAAATGGAAAGAATGTCTCAATGGGTTTTGGTTTCTTAGAGCTTGATTCTGTTGAAACGGCAGCAAATGTTTGCAGGGATTTACAGGTAATATATCCTGCTTAATGAACATCATTTGCATAAGATTTGACCCAACACTCCTTCTCTTCCAGGGAACTGTTTTGGATGGGCATGCTCTCATTTTGCAACTTTGTCATGCTAAGAAGGATGACCAAGTACGGAAAAATGTTGACAAGGATCGGAGTTCAACAAAATTAATTGTGAGAAATGTAGCTTTTGAGGCAACAGAGAAAGATCTCAGACAGCTGTTCAGCCCATTTGGCCAGGTAAATTTCAGTTATTGCATAATGTAAGTGGCTGTAAGTAGTAATAATTAGCCCTTTGTTGGTTTAACATCAATAATATTAATGGTCAAGATTAGCGGGATACAATTTAGTTGGGAAGCTATAGTAGTGTAGATCTTCTAAGCAACCCATGAAGATCGAAGTGCAAGTGCTGGAAAATAACATTCACAAACGGGCACCCTACTAGTAGTTTTAGGCCATGATTGGTTGCTGGGGCTAAATTTTGGGGATATATAATCCATTCTTCTCCCATGTTTGTTTTAATTGGATAAATAAAAGTACTAACGGTGTTATCTTACTTATTATACTAAGAGGAAATCGTACAAATGTTGTATACTTGTTTTCCTCCCATTTCATACTTGCATACAGCCAACAAACATAGTACAAAAGAACATACAACCACAATACTTAACATTAGCATTTTTGTGTACTAAAAGCATTTCTGAAATATAAACACATATTTCTTGTTACTGTGCAGATTAAAAGCTTGAGGTTGCCAATGAGGTTTGGAAACCACAGAGGCTTTGCTTTTGTGGAGTATGTTACAAAGCAAGAGGCACATAATGCACTTCAAGCTCTTTCAAACACTCATCTGTACGGTCGCCATCTGGTATGTGTATTTTTATCCAAAACTTCAAACATGTTTACCTCCCCACCTACCATATCTATAACTGCCTTGTAATTTTCAGGTTCTTGAAAGAGCAAAGGAAGGTGAGACCTTGGAAGAATTACGGGCTAGAACAGCTGCTCAGTTTAGTGATGGGCAAGATGGGTTAGGTTCAACCAAGTTATCAAAGAAAAGGAAACACATGGCCGTCTTGGATGAAGGGAGCGTTAAATTTGAAAGGATTGCTAATTAATGTTTCAAAATATTTTCATATGAGTTATGTTTCTCATGTGTCCTTATATAATATATGTTTTTTGTTTTTTGCTTTCCCCTTATTTTATATGTTGAGTTGGCCCCATTTTTCCATGTTGGGTGCTGGTAGAATGTAAGTGGATCATGTATGAGTCAGCTGAAATGTTAAAAATTGAGTTCTATGTTTCCATGGCCCTGAGCTTTTCTTTCCCTTTAATTTTCCTTGCTGGTGGCTAAATTACTTTTTTTGATTTCAAATTGAACAAACAAGTTTTGGTGGGGGAGTAAGTCTACATACAAGGAAAGTTGAAAGGAGATTGTCATTCATCTAAAAAAATCAAGTTAATCGGATGTCGGTAGTTACATTATCGTATCACATTTATTTTTAAAAATAGATAGCAAGAATGATTTTGTTACAAAACTTTATTGTTTTTCTACTGTGATTGTAAATGAAAACAGTGAATTTCATAAATGACTTTAGGCATTGATAGTAAGTCAATATAACAACCATATATCAAATGAAACGCGACAAACCTTGACAGACATACAACATAAGATACTAAGACGTGCAAATTCTTGAGGAGGCAGCAGGAGTTGAGTATGGTTTATTGCATATTAAACCATACATATTTTTAAAGAGGCATCAACTTGGAAAAAAAAAAAGCACTTAGAAGATGAAATATATGATATAGATTTGAACTTGGTGTAGTATGATTCACACCCAGATTAAATGTAGTTCATATATTTCATTATCGACATTATTCTAGCAATTGGGTGGATTGGGGAGTTTGCACTTGGCTGGGAGCTGCAGGGCAAGGTTCGGGTCGATTCCGAGGGAAGGCAGCAACTTGGAGTTCTTGTAGGAGCAAAGGCATTGCATGTTAGCATGGGATAGTGCGGAGCAACATGTGGCCGAAGGCGGAGTTGGGTTTGGAGGAGTCACCGATGGCTTGCACGCTGTCAGACCGTCCATCGACACGTTGCATATGGTCTGGGCATTGGTAATGGCCACCAACAACAGAACCACAATTGCTACCTTCTGATACGCTTCCATTTCTCTCTCTCAGACACAAAATGTTGCTGTTTTTTTATTTGAAAGCATGCAAAGACTCGTTGTTTATATAGGGGAAAGGGGTTGTGGAGAGAGAGTGTTGGCAATGTTCAGAGCGTGAAGCAACAGCTTGAGCTGTTCTTGTATGGGAAAATTATTGAGGGAACTACATGCAAATGGAAAAATTATTGGAGGAACTACATGCAGGTGGGAGTAAGAAAAAAATATTACTAACACATGGAGGAGTGCAGAGTACAACTTTTCATTTGCACCCCATATGTTTGTAATTTTTTTCTCTAACTCCCATCTGCATATGGTTCTCCAAAAATTATTAGTCTAAAGAAAAAAAACAGAAAAAAGAAAAAGAAGGCATCCGTGAATGTGCTTTGGCATTTTATACCTGCCACTATATTTATACTGTGTCATCACGGGCTTTAGCGTTTGTGGCTTAGAAGAGACCACTGAATCTGTAGATTTTCTTTTCATTTGGGTTTACTTTTGTGCACATCTATCTAGCTCCCTCTGCTTCTCTCTCTCTCTCTCTCTCTCTCTCTCTCTCTCTCTCTCTCTCTCCTTCTTACTCATTGGGTTTTAACTTTTAAGCATGAGTTGGATAAATGGAAACTTATTATGACATCTCTTAGATATATGGGTTGTGTACATGATATTTTTTTTTTTTTTTGGGATACCAAGAACACTCCCAAGGCAGGACCCTTAGGATCTACCCTTATAAGCCAAACTGGGAGAAGCTAGCCGATCTACCTAAACTGTCGGACTTCCACTTGAGTAGTAGGGAATTCGAACCCTGATCAGTAAGGAGAGGAGCATACTCCATTACCAACTAGAATGACCCCTTGGTGGTATGTACATGATATTGATTGTTGAACTTCTACATGTATATGTCAAGCTTAAGAAAAGGAAAATTAAATTGGGTTCAAGAAATCTCTTTCTTGTTGACATTATTCCTTATTTTTCTGAAGTGCACATTTGATAACTTGTTGGGTGATAATTTGGTTGTAGCTTCATCTATTTCTTAAAAAATTGACGTTGGCAGCTTGATAGTAATTATCACCTAAAAAATTATTTGGGTCATTTATTTATTTATTTCAACACATATTTAGAGTGCACAAGTGCAATTCTGAACAGTGTAGAACACTGTTACTCTTAATGGATTTATCATATAAGTGGTGTTAAGAGAGTTCAAGAAGTGTCGCCGAAGTGTCTGATATTATAAATTTGAAATTTTAATTAAGATGTGTTGAAGAAGTGTCAGACACGCTTTTAAAAGTGTCTACAAAGTGTCGTGTTAGACACAACATGCCTCCTCCATAGAGGTGTCTGTACCTCTTAGGGCTCAATCTTGTACACATCTAGTATACAAAATCTAATCATTATTTAGGTTATTTATAATTTATTTATTTAATGAGTTTTGTGTTATTTTGTTTTTTTAAGCATTACAATTTGACATAACAAACTGAAAGTTATGAGGCGAGGCAACTTCAATGAAGAAAAGCCGAGAATGTTTTGGTAACTAAAAGGATGAGGCTTGTTTAACTAGGTTACAATGATTACAATGAGGTTCCAATGATAGCCTTGTTGACAATGAGGTTACAATGATAAGCTTGTTTGATAAATGAGATAGGTTACAATGAGGTTTTGATTAACTGAAAGAAAAATGTTCCTTGTTCGAATTAGGCACAAAGGATTAGACAAAGGACGAGCCTTAATTGGAAGCCTGAAGAGCATGCTGGCCAAAGTGGCCGTTGAAGGAGTGACTTTGGAGAGGGCAAGAATATTTGGACATGTACTTAACCCAACTGGGCAGAGATCTCCACACAAGATTTTATGCAAGAAGCTTGTTGGTGAGAAAGTTGCACAATGGTATCCATATGACATTAACAAAGATGAAATCCCTCCCTCCCTCTCTCACACACGCACTTTCACATACACGTTCGCATACAAAATTCTGGCAGTCTCTTCAATCAGATGTTTTCGCTGGAACTCTATTAACCCAAAAAAAAAAACGAAATTATGTATGCTTTTTCCACTTATACTGATTGAATAAACGGTACCTGAATTTATTTTCTACTACATTTTTCTACTTACATTTTTTGTATCTATATAGATTATCTGTGTAGTGCCAATCCAACAGAAGTCCTTATTAAAAAAATATATTATTTCGGTTGAATTTCTTTTGTTTTTTAAAATTCACATTATATTTGACAACAGTGTGTGCAAGCATGCACATGTATAGCACAACTCCACCTTGATTGTTTTGTATACACTAGTCTTTTTTTTTTTTTTTTTTTGTGGTGTGGTTTCCCTATTTTATGTTTCTTCTTGCCTAACAAGAGTTTGTTTATGTGTCTTTTGTGAAACTATAATGATGTTCTTGCTGAAGAATCAGAAGCTTGCAGGCCTAGTTTGAAGCAAAGTTGTTTTGTGGAACCATTTTGTACATATTGCAGTTGGGTATCTTTATTAAGATTGATTATACATCATTTAAGTGTAGGGGAGTGAAAATAGTTGAAAATATTAAAAAAAGGGACGGACTGTTGATATCAGCTCCATCTTACTAGGCGAGTCTTCAGTTACATCTTATCAATTTTTATCATACTAGAGGAGTCTCTGAAAAAAAAAGGTTGACGTAAGTTGACAATATGGATTGAGCAAAATAGTTTTAAATTTAATTTTCTCTTTATAAAAGTAATTTTCTTTCCATTTTTCATGAGTTATGTCTCAAAGAAAATAGACAATGAGTATTTGACGATCGCATTAGGATTTGGTACAAATTTTTTCTTGCATTTTGAAATTTGATACAAATTTTCTGGATAAGGTTGAAATGAGAAAGAAAGGATAAAAACAAAAGTTGTGTTTGGTAGAGCTTTAGAATTATGATTTGAGAATAGATTTGTATTTTGAATTTGTGAGTTTTAGAATTATGATTTAAGCGTGGAAAATTTGTTTGGTTATGAGTTTTAAAAAGAATTTAAATTGAGTGATGTGACATATAATATTAAAAAATTGGTGTTTTGAAAAGTAGATGTGGAATTAATTTTTTAAAACTGTAATCAAATAACACACTCAAACTAAGGGACAAAATTAAACTTTGAGGCCATGTTTGTTTGGGTGGACATGAGCATGGGATTGGACTAATAGTCCAATAAAATTATTAATCCGATATTTGGTTAAACAATTCAAGTACGGATTAATTATTTTACATTTACTATTAGTTAAGATAGGATACATAATCCAACGGATTGGTTGTCCTAGGATTATTAGTCATGGGAATGCTAATCCAGTCCGCCCAAACAAACATGGCCTAAAAGCTGTACCAAAGAGAGCCTTGCTCGCGGAAACTAGAGGAGGCGTAGTGCTAATCCCTCTAATGCTTTAAACAAAAATGTGTTTATGCATTGTGAAAATAATACTTAGAGAAGTGAAATTACTCGCTTCTAAATCGTATGATTGTACTTTGTGCAGGGCCTTATCGAAGCTTGAAATGTTGAACTGTCGTGGAAAGGGACTGCCGAAGAAGGGCCAAGGAAAGAGCTCTCCAAAACGCAACAAATAGATATATGTCTCTCTGCAGACTACAGATGGTGTTGGATTGGATCAATAGTGTTCTTCTGTAGAACTAATTAGTTGCTACCTTTCTTTTTGTTGATCTTGACAACCTTTAGTATTTTGAGTTTTTTGTAGAATATACTTGGTTAATATTTCCTTGAATGAAATCAGTAATTTAGAAAGAAAAAAAAAAAAAGTGGTACTCTTGCATTAGTAGTAAGAAAAAAATTTCCAATCCCACCCCCCCCCCCCCTCCTTTTCCTTTAATTCTCAAAGCTTCTGTCCCTCTGCCCCAAAATGGGGTTGCCCAATTTGTTAATCGGTTAATTTTGTTACTTTGTTATTTATTTTATTTTTCTATGAGAGTTAAGTAATGTCAACCAAGTTGAGTAGTTAATAATTTTAAAATTTTGAAGATGGGTTTAAGTTTGTACTTTTGAAACCAATCACAAATTAGTTGTAATCGAGTTGAATTTAAACAATTTAATTTCTAATGTTATCAAGTTGGTTGATAAGTTATTCAAATTAAAAATTATTAAATTTGAAATGTATTTAAACATAACTTAAAAA